TCCTATCCAGGCTGCACAGTGGTGCAGTTGCCTTGTAGCAAGAAGGTTCTGGGTTGGATTCCCAGCCCCGGTCTTTCTGCATAGAGTTTGCATGTTCTCCCTGTGTATGCATGGGTTCTCTCCGGGTACTCTGGTTTCCTGCCACAGTCCAAAAACATGACTGTCAGGTTAATTGGCCTCTCCAAATTGCCCCTAGGTGTGAGTGTGTGTGTATTGTTGTTTGTCCTGTGTGTCTCTGTGTTGGCCTGCGACAGACTGGCGACATGTTAGGGTGTACCCTGCCTCTCGCCCGGAATGTTAGCTGGAGATAGGCACCATTAACCCTCCTGACCCCACTAAGGGACAAGGGTGTAAAGAAAATGGATGGATGGATCTCCTATCCAACCCGATCTCACCTTTCGTGTTTCCACACGGTGTGCCTGTTGCCAGCCAGTTTCTTACATACCAGCATTAAAGTCATTATTTTCTTTGGAATAAAATCTTTAAAATTGTACCTGTATCCTGAGAGTGTCTTTGCATATGGATATACTTTAGAATATCTTTTTTATTCAGTGTATCTAAATATCTTGTTTCAACTGTATCATACTGAGAAAATATGAGCTTCCCCAACACCAGAACTTTCTCTGGTAATATTTCTACCCAGGTAATTTTTTTAAACACTGGTAATTGCAGGCAAGAAGTAACCCTCAGCAGCAACTTTGTCGCCTAAAGTTAACTTTTTAGCAAATGGTAAAATCACCTCTATCTCATTGCTCAGCTACAAGGAATTGTTTAGTTAATCATTAGCTACTCATTTATTGAGTGTAAAATAAATCCAGGAATAACTATTAGTTTACTCCTATATAATGTTCGTTATTTCGCAATAGCCAGCCCCGCCCTTATCTCACCTCCGACTGACTACTGACCAGTTCTCTGTCTAACAGGTTCGGAAAATCTCTAAAACCCGGGTCTTACCCTAGAAATAGGTTTATAGGCGATATTCTATTTAAACTGGTGGCGGAGAAAACTCGTCTAGCTCTAACTACCTTCAATTCCAGAAGTTATGACCCTTTTCAGTTGAGAAACAGTCAACAGAGTAGCCCTCACTGCTGCGTAGTTTCAACAACCACTCCTGTTAACGGTAGCTTTTCCCCTTAAAATAACGTGCACTTGTTACCGGCTAGATTAGATTTAGTGACTTAGACTTAAGTCCCAGGGTCATTATTTTCACACTCACCAAAGGAAAGTACGAAGCCACCACATCTCTAGAATCATGTATGTTAGGGAAATCTACGACAATTAATCTCAATGTCCACAAGTTTCATTGGAATTTATAGTAGGTAATTTATTAAGCAAGCTTTAGCAGGGATAAATGACAAGCAGTTTAACTTTCAGAGATTACAAGTTTGCAATAAGAAATTAAATTCAATTTAAAATCAATCATAACCTATTTTCCTTTCTATCCCTATCCTGTGTCACTAGTTTAATTGAATGAGGCTTTTTGGGGGGGGGGGGGGGGTTAAAATTTTAATCATTTTTCCGGAGTTTTTAGGAAATGTTT